GTGGGGGAGAGGAATGGGGATCCGAGGAGAAGCTGGAGCCTGTGCCGCTCCTCTTCTCCCTGCTGAGCCGCAGCTGTGTTGGCTGCCTGGCGCCCCTGTTGCCAATGGCGTCCTGTGCTCACCTTGGCAAAAGGCGCAAGGGGGCGCAGCCAGGCCGCCCTGGCTACACCCCCTCTCTGCTGCGCCTGAGGCGAGTGCCTCACTCGTCCCATGGTAGCTACAGCCCTGCGCTCATCCATGTCTTTATGCTTTGTGCACTGGTGCGCAGTCATGCTGGAACAGGAAGGGGCCGTCCCCAAACTGTTCCCACAAAGTTGGGAGCATGAAAGTGTGCAAAATGTCTTGGTATGCTAATCCAATGATTTGGAGAGGCGTCCCAATACTTTTGGCAATATAGTGTATGTGGCAGCCCTGCACCGGGCCTTGCTATATATATACATATATGTGTCTCCTTTGTGCTGGGCAGGTGATCAATTGTGCATCTCCAGCACTGAGACTGAGCCAGTAGGACTGATCAGGTGGTCACTGTGACAGCCAATCACTGTGATCACATGATCAGTAAAGCCCATGTACCATATATATTATATTCTCCATTCGCTTGGCAAGAAAAGGATGCACTTGACCCGCTTTGCCTGCAGTTCAAATGCACCCCAATAGGATGTGCCGCACCGCACATATACGCAGTGCAACGAAAAGCAGCTCCAACGCACCCTCTGATCTGCCATGTGTACTGCTCCTTTAAGTCTAAAGGGATTTTGCTGACCTGCATTCAAAGTGCATTCCAGTCTGTGGATCAGTTTATTTTTAGACTCTCTGGTACAATTTCTACCTATAAATTATCATGTCATGGAATTATTATTTTAATTTTGGTAATTGTAATGTAGGTATCTTCACCCCTCCGAGAGGCGTAGCAGATGTAAATAATTAAGCCACCAATTTTTTTTCATTTTTTTCTTTTATTCAAAACAGTACGGTAAAATTTTTTTGCACAAAAAGGGCATAACATATTTTACACAATTTTTAGTTTCAAAAACTGGAAAAAAAATATACAAAGACTTGTTTTTTTCAATGGCGGGTTTTCCAGCCTGCTTGTTCGACGGAAGACGTGCGACCGTACGGTAGAAACGGTCGCACGCCTTCCATACACTGCAAGATTCTAGTACCATCGTGGGATTTCCCGCGATTCTCGTACGAGAATCATGCAGTGTATGGGCACCTTTAGGCTGGTTAATTATCCACTTTCGTGTCACTGTTTGAAATCTTTAAGCACAAATATTTTTTTTTAATATTCTTGTGGAATGGGCAAGGAATCTAAACTGAACTAAAAACGGAAGGCTTTAGAATTCTGGGAGGGGGGAGGGTTTATCAGTAAAAATGCACAACTGCATCCAAGACGGACTTGGTCCCCAATTAGCTTTTTATTCCAGTAATAACCTGATAGCTAAAAAAACATTTCCTTTGTCCTCTTGGTTTGTACGTTTTTTTTTAAATTTTAAATGTGGATTGAGGAAGGGGGGACGGGAGTCTATAGTATGTAGCATGGTGGGATATGGATACTGAACTGAATCTAATAAATAGAACCTATGGTACCTATGATACGTTAGCGACACTCAAACTCGTTCTTGGATTGCATATTTTTTAACAATAAATGTAACATTTAAAACATATAATTTTTACTGCTGTAAAATATATTAAGAAACTTAAAATAATAATACTTTAAATTAAGGTCCTAACTGCTTGTAAATGGCTATATACAAAAACAAAAAAAGATCATTAAAACAGACTTATTTTTTACAGTTCAAGCCTTCTTTTTGTCAATAAAATTTGCCAATATGGGTCTGAAAATTATGCTGGAACATTTATAGATAAGGCGAGCAAACTTATCTACAAAAAAAAGGTGAACAAAAATAATTTGTCACTTGATGGTTACACTTAAAAAAATGCAAGACCTTCATTTTATTTTCCTTTGTTTCTTTTTTTTTTTTTTTGCATTAAATTTCATACGGGAAAAAACCTTTAAAGACAAATTAAAACAATAAAAATTAATTGTAACTTTTTTTTGTTGTCAATTTATGGGTTTTTTTTGGCCTTTAAGTGTTTTTAAGGAAGCACATGGCTTTTTGATGCCTTAGAAACAATTTAAAATCATAGAATAAGTTGCAAATAAAAAAGGGAAAAAGTCGTATAACAGCAAAATGACTGCTAAATGTATGCTGGCATAAAGTGCTACTTTCATCTCTGTATGGAATGGCTTTTTTTTTCCGTTAACTGTTAAAAATACAACTTTAGACACTTTTTTATTATTATTTTTTTGTGTGCTCGTACTCTATATTAGCAGTGCGCGGTGAATCTTTGTACAAAGTGATGGTGCTTTCAACATAGAAAATAAAATAATAATTCTACCTATATACAGCATGCAGCAATGTAGTCCATTAGTCTGGTGAATATCACAACTTTTTTTTTTGTATAAACACTTCCTGTATTTTAAATGGCCTTTTAAAAAAAAAATGCATAACATTTGGAGATCATATATACAGTGTAGAAGCTCCAAATGGGTGCAGGGTTTTTTTTTTTTCTTCTTTTTTACAATGTACAGTTCTGCTTGACGTACAACATTTACGTTAACCCCTTTTACAACTATTATAAACTACTTTAACAGTCCAAAAAGAGAGAGAATTAGTGTGTGTTTTTTCTTCCAGTAGCTTAAATACAAAAAGTGA